TATATATTAGAGATCAAGCTCTTCAGCAAGGGTGATTTAGATGTAGTATTTATTCAGCCAGTTAGAGTGGATTAGATGTCGAATTAGCATACGATCCTGTTTAGCTACGGTGTCGGAATAGGACAATTAAACGACTAACGATGGGATGAAATCATAATATCCTCGTTCAACGACGAGTTAGTCCCATCATTTAAAAGGTTTGACATTCGTAGAACGGATATAAAAATTTCATTTTCTAGTAATGATATACCTTTCTCAAGTATTTATCAATCTCTGAAGTTGGATGTGACACTTCAGATCAACTTCCTTCATCTTTCGGATAATATCATCGAAAGGTTTCCTTTCTAACCTCGTGAAATAAAAACGTGAAGTATTTGATATTCACGTCGTACCAGAATCATGGGTTCGTAGCCTACGATCAAAAGATGATCAACGAACATATGTATCCTGCTGTCGCGTCGAATGACTTTCATGTCGCATCGGCTAGAATTCTTTGTTGCGACCACAAAAAGGTAATGGGAGTGTGCAAATCCAACATGATCTCTCTTGCGATTCCGCGCGGACGTTCTTGAACCTCCAGTTCATGCTGATAATGATTACAAACCATCAATAGTCATGATCGTGAATAAGGTCAACTCATGACCTGATGTGAATTGTTAGAGATTAGCCTATCCACGATGTTCTTTACAAATCAGCATACCTATAATATGTAACTTCGTATATTCCAGAAATCGAATAAAAGTAACAACATTGCAGATGCATATGTGTACTTTCAACGTGGCTTTGGTTTTCGAATTACAACCTTTGTCCCTTCTAATTGCCATCCCACGCTATACGCCTCAGTCAAAACGCTCCAACTAGAATCGGTGAGTTGCTCCAGGCAATCTAAATCGATACTGAGGTACGTTTTCCCAATCGACTTTAATGCATGCAGCTTCATCTCCTCCCCCGCGAATTCCATGATCTTTGCCTTATAACCATCAACCTCTCTCTTTACCTTCCAGAATAGAAAGTAATTATCGTGAGCAATCGCTTTCAAAACTTCATCGACTTTAGGATCTCGCAACCCGAGTGCAAGTCTGATAGAGTATGCCTTTGCCAGATCAGATTGCCTACAAGCCAAATCTAGCACTTGGTATGCTGCAAATTCCTGAAGTTCGGTGCTTGATAGTGGATGTTTTGGGTGCATTACTTGAAGTAGATGGCGCATTGCTGGATGATACGATTCCCAATGTTTCAGCAATATTGACAAGCGTATGCAAAATATATATGCTTGAATGGAGAAATCATCTATTCTTTTCGATGCCACGATTCCTTCTCGAAGTTTTCTCATTCCCATTGTTATAGCATCGAGTTCGTTTGTATCGGGTTTGCCATTGATAAGGTCTGCGGGGTTTGGCACTGTTTGTGTTGTTGGGGCAGCATCGTGATTCGCATTATCTTGAGCAATATTCAGACGTGCAAGCTTCCGGTTTAGTTCATCTCCTCTGCGAGCATCAGCTGCGAATATCAAGTATCGTTCGACTATCTTGTTGTAGAAACGTTCCTGGGTTTTATAGTCAAGGAGCCTGGCGGGGCAGTAAGTCAACAAAGGCGGAGGATAGGATTGGCTGCAAGGACGTACTGCTTATCTCCCTTGGATCTTAAGCCCATCTCCTCGAAAATATCCTGCTTGACGGGCTTTAGCCGACTCCATGATGAGTTACGTCCACCTTTGGTCGACATCGAGACAGAGAACAAGTATCGACAATGATGCTTGTTTGATGTGATGTCTCTATTTCATATGCATGAGTGAAAATGAACACTCTCGTGCTTAGCTTCAATACCCCTCGTCATCAATTGCTGCTTTAAGAAGGAACTCCCAACATTATTTTTGATGAATCTGATAAGAATTTCAGTACCTGGATAATTATCATCCCAGCTCTATCCGTAAAAATGATGGATTTATTGTGTCAAATCGGTCGTTTACTCCTTCAGTTGTGATTTTACTTGTAGCGACTGACTTCATTTCATTTCAAGTTAATCAATCGTAAGCACAAGCTCACTCACTGGCATTAAGATGTCGACCCGTCAACGAAGACCATCGACGACATCGACCACAGAACTTCTTTTCGAAGCAGCCAAAAATATTGAAAGGAGGGTCGAAAATTCTCTTACAGTACTTTGGGATGATCTTCCCTCGTGGCAACAAGACAATCATTATATTAGATCTGGTTATCGACCTGCAACATCATCTTTTCAGAAGTCCTTTGCATCCCTGGGTTACATTCACAATGAATCAGTCAATATCTACTCGCACTTGATTGGAGCCGTAGTATTCACACTTTCGGGATTTCTCTTATATGCAATCATTAAGCCTAGATATGCGTCCGCTGAAATCGCTGATGTTCTAGCATTTAGTTGCTTTTTTGCAGGAGCTGCATTATGCCTTGGGATGTCGGGGACTTACCATACTATCTCTAATCATTCTCCCACTGTTGCTAAGTTTGGCAATAAGTTGGATTACCTGGGGATCGTTTCTCTCATCACTGGGAGTGTTATACCTGGGATCTATTATGGTTTGTATTGTCATCCACATCTATTCGAATTTTACTCCACAATTGTAAGTCGTTTCTACAAGATGCGTTCAATTTTCACTTGGCTCATGATACATTCAGACGGGTGTCCTTGGAGGTTTTTGTGCAGTTGTAGTCATGCTTGAACGGTTCAGAACCCCTGCTTGGAGACCTTATCGAGCAGGTATCTTTGTGGCTCTGGCGCTTTGCGGAGCTGTTATTCCAATACTGAATGGGATACAACTCTATGGATTCCATGCAATGCGTGAACGGGCGGGCTTGACATGGCTGCTACTCGAAGGATTCTTTTACATTCTTGGTGCTTCATTATACGCGGTAAGTATTCCAATGGTGTTTGAGTGAATGGCTTTCTGATAGCAACTAGGCTCGATGGCCTGAACGGACCTCACCAGGTTCTTACGATATTTGGGGAAGTTCTCATCAAATATTTCATATGCTTGTCCTTGTGGCAGCTGCTTCACATTTGTACGGCTTGACCATAGGTTTCGATTATTATCACAACGGTCTTGGACTGAAATGCTGAATTTCGAAACGTTAGTTGCGAGATCTAATTGCCTGGATGTTTTGGAATGTTGCATCCACCTGTCGATTGAGTCTTGATCTCCGAGTTGAATGCATGGTAGGGATTTAGACGTGACAAAGGATGAGAATAGGGGCTTCGGTATCGACAGAAGATGCTTTAGCGTGGCGCTTTAGATGGTCAAGAAATTAGCCACATTGATAGACGCAAATACTTATGTAGGACCGGATTAGAGAATTATAAAACGCAAGATACTATGCTCAAGTAATTGGAATTGAAGATGGGTAGTTCGAACGGTTGTGAGGGCAAAATAGCTCAACATCCAAAAATAGAAATTTACAGCAAGCCTCGGTCCGGCAATCAAAAATCCGGGGAAGCCGTCGTTCCCCGCCTTTAATTCATATACTAGGAAACCTCACAAATACAAACAAATGCCACCGTTCTTACTACCTATGACTCCAATTCTCTATTAACCAGAGAACTGTACAATGGCGTCTCGTATTGCACAAATTGCTGGTCATCTCAATTATCCCAAGGGATTACTTGCTGGTCAAGTAGCTATAATTACCGGTTCTGGCCAAGGTATTGGTGCGGAAACCGCGAAACTTTTCGCAAATGAAGGAGCCAAAGTAATTATATCTGATATCGATGGCGGTTGGTACCTTTCAATTCACTATTTATCTCAAAGCTACCAATACTAACCCAGTCTCCCTCTCAGCCAAAGCAAAATCCGTCGCCGACGAAATCAATTCCGCCGAAAGCGGCCGCGCAATCGCAGTTCCAGGCGACATGCTTAATGCCGATTATCTCAAAGTACTTGTGAAGAAAGCTGCAGAATTTGGAAACGGAAAAATCCACATCATAGTAAATAATGCGGGATATACATGGGATGGCGTGATCCACAAAATGACCGACAAACAATGGGAAAACATCTTGGCTCTTCACAATACCGCCCCTTTTAAACTCATTCGCGAAGCCGCGCCCTATTTTCGCGTCACAGATGGTGAACCGCGATGTATAGTGAATATATCATCGACATCCGGTGTTCATGGCAATGCCGGACAGGCCAATTATGGAGTTGCAAAATCGGGGATTAATGGACTTACGAAAGTGATTGCGAAGGAATGGGGTCCAAAGTTTGGAGTCAGATGTAATAGCATAGCGTTTGGACATATATTGACGAGATTGACGGCTGCGAAGGAAGAGGGGGCTTTTGTGACGACGCCGGATGGAGAGAAAATTGCACTGGGGATACCGAAGGGTCAGGGGAGTCAAGGAAAAGATGCGAATTTGGATATTCCGTTGAGGAGGGCGGGTACGGCGGGGGAAGCGGCGAGGAGTATTTTGGCGGTCGCGAGTCCGTTGTTTGGGTATGTGACGGGGCAGGTTATTATGGTTACAGGAGGGAGGAATATGTAGGTGTATCTATGTATTGGAGATGATGAATTGTTTTGTTTCAGGGTATGGTTACTTTGCTTATGTTTGGGTGGACATGCCTATCAAAATTCGGTCATCGCTTTTTCGAATGTTCCAAAGACCTTTCCATTAATTCTCATGGGTTTCCGGTTCGATATTTTCTTGAAAGGTATGGAAATTTCAAATGGATTCATGCACACTGGCACCAGCTCATAGATTGAATTACGTACTTTTTCTTGTGATCAGATATATAGTCTATGTGAGAGCTCAACTCAGAGCGGAGGCTATAAACAAAAAAACTTGCACCAGCCCCTAAAAAATTTCTTTGCATATTTGATATCCAACACCAAGCACTACCACGAAATGATATTATCAGTATTACCCTATGACCTCAAGTCACAATTTCGCCAAGACCTTGTCAATAGTAAGTCGGTTCCCTTATCTTTCCTTCCAGGAATTCAACTTCGACTCTACCAATTAAAGTTTGACTATCGACTGGTCCAGCAGTCGTCCCAGGCTATCGCAAACGAGTTTCCCATAATCTGTATATGCGTTAGCTAATCTTGTAGCTCTTGGGTGAAAATCAGACTGCCGGTAGTATACCTCAGACTATTGAGTAAAACCTACCGTCGAGCCAGAGAATAGGCGTACGAAATCATCTCCGAGGATGAAACAGAGAAAGATATCGTCCCTCGAAGTCCCAAAAAAAATCATCGGTCGATGTACATAACCAGTTATAGAGTGGTCCATCGTCTGCATTCCTCAACCTCAGTCCGTTCTCGATGCATCGAAGTACAACAAAAGTTGGGAGAAAGCAAAGCAAAACGCAGAACCTAAGTCTGCTCGATTTGCGAAATACCCATGCGAATGTAAGAATCCCTAAGCCACAAAGTACTGCCGCAGCTATGAAGAACGCTTTCCATGATGCGCCACTCCCGGTCAATTCGTTGATATTCATACCGAAAAACGAAGTTACCAGAGAGATGGGGAGAAAGATGAACGCTAGGACGGACAATTTTCCCAAAGTATTGGATTGCTGGATCGATTTTCTCGATTCAATTAGCGAAAGTCTTCCAACATTCCACTGAAGTGTGTCTCGAACATATTGCTCAAGTTCGCGAGCTCTTTGTAGCTTTTTGCGATGACAATTAATCACATCTTGTATTTTGTTATTTTCACGAATGCCTACAGTGCCTTCTTGATAGTCTTCAAGTTTCTGGGTGATCAGTTCAAAACTTTCAATCACGGCGCGAGACTTTATCCATGCTTTAGTAAGATATGAAAGCGTGAAACTTCGGCTTTCATTCTCTAAAGATCGAGGATCCTCAAGTTCTGAACCAATCCAGCATTGAAGTTTGAATTTCAATTTTCCAAGTCGAGCGAGAAAATACGCTTCCAGGTCACTGATTAGGGGAAGGAAACACTCGATTGGACTTGAGTTGATGAATCCAATGTCTGCGTCCGTAAAATTGTCCCAATTGTTGATGAGGGACTGTACAACAGTATCTACACTCTGCCGACTCCATGTGCGATAAAATACGACCACTAAATATGATAGAACCGTGAAGTAACGAGCTACAGATACACTGACTCGTTTTACAATTCTCACAATCATTCATTGTCCAGCGTAGTAGAGGTCTGAGGCGTAATGCCTCATCGCGACCGAAATCAAAACCAAGCTGTGAAGTCCCCGATGCCGGAGGGCCAAACTTCCAAGAACCCAAGTCTGACCTGATATTCGCATTGTATTTAGCTTCTAGAATTTCGTATGTTGTGCTACAAGCTGAGAAGAGAGTTGGTTCCTCATCAGAGCAACTCCGTGTAAGAGGGCTATTTGTGGGAGGAAGTAAAAGAAAGACGATCATAGTGCTAGTTTCGGATGGAATTATAGCTAGTTGTTCGTTGAACAAAGAGGGCGTTGAAACAAAGTTAACGGAATCGATGGAGTCAACACAGCTTGAGTTAGGGTTTCCAGTCTGCCAATTAACTTTTTGGTAAGAGATAGATTTGGCCTCCGATCCATGTAACAAACTTATATCGGCAATAAGAGTAGCTAAGGGAATACTATCTATCTTCACAGAAGACTCAGATTCGCTGAGACTTCCCATACTGATATAAATGAATAATTTTGAAGCAAACGGTTGTCCTGTTTCGACACGAGATAGTAACGAGGGGGCGATCTTTCAGTGTGAATTCTTGATGCAAGAGGTGACATATAATGATAAGTTTTCAACGAATGTCTGTAGATATTTCAGTAGAGATATGGGATATTTTCGGCGCTTAATATGTATCATTGTTCCGCATAGAAACCCTAACTTGATCTAAATACATGGTCATCAATACGTTAACTATGAAACAATGCTAGCCAACCGTCAATTATATCTTTACACTGTTTCGTACCATTTGGTTGATGAAGACGTGCATCTTTAAACAAGATAAACATGGAAGACCAGGCCATGCCAGTTAAAGCGATGACCGCATGATAATAGCCGCCCCTAGAAGGGGGGGCAAGGGTTGTAGCCCAATAAAGCCGATGCTGTACTCTGGATTTGAATCTACCTTAACCGGGCTGACTGGCCTTTAAATATGCCCTTGGTTGCATTTTAGTTTTCCAATACGCTTTTGACTGCATAATTATTCTTTGGGAATGTCGATCACACAGAGAAGCGCTTAATGTCCATTTCATCGAGACACTTCTACGATTTTGGCTATCATGTATGCTCAATTCTGTTACACGAATCAATAGTAAGCTACCCAGAAGCTACTGCGCCATGCGAATCAAAAGAGCCTCGATACTGCCTGTCCAAAATTATACGTCCAATGAGCTACACTGAAAAGTGAACTACATACAATATTTCGCGGATATAGTGCATAAGTAGAACATCAAGCCCAACGTCAGTATTGTCGCAGTATGAACCATAGTGATAGTCAAGGGTGACGGATCTTATCAAGGATAAATGCACACAACTAAGATGCGATTTTCAAGGCTTTGCTGTGCAACGCGAGAGCAAGTTGTACCCGTGACTTCAACGATTACAATCAGCATGTTGACTTCGTGGCGCTTGCCAAATAACAGCCTGATTTTCGACATTTGAGATCCTATAAACTCCAAAGACTAGAGACATCTAGATCTAGCTAATATGAGTGACTCTCCTGAGATAGTCTTGGGGCAAAGTCGTCGGTTCCGACTTTGCTGAAACGGAACCAGGAAAAGTCACAACCTTTCAAAGTTGGTGCCTTATTCTTGTTGATCTCAATTGGAAAGTAACGTTCAGTTACAGGGTTGCAAGTCGAAGGGGTTGGAAATGCTTGGGATGTATGCAATTGATTGTGTAATTAATTATCCAACTTCCATCCATCGACTTGATGGTGACCGACGCGAGAGCGACGCGGCCGGTGTGCTTACTAAGCAAGCCATTTCGGATTGTCAATTTTGTGGACACGGTGCACCTGAACCCCATCGAGCTCCATGAGAAGTCAATAACCACACTCCTTTAACAACATACAATTTTAATTGAATAGTCCCGACTGATTCTCGACACTTACCTTCCTTTACCTACAATAATAACTATCCAAAATGGCACCAAAAGCTACCAAGGATAAATACTCCGTAATCCTTCCCACCTACAATGAACGTCGCAACCTTCCCATCATTACATGGCTTCTTAATCGCACATTCACCGAGCAGTAAGTCTGCGCCAATGGCTCGCACTTTTATGCGCATTGATTTTTCAGGCGGCAGCTAATTGAATTATAGAGGACTCGATTGGGAGCTCATCATCGTTGACGACGGCTCCCCCGACGGAACTCAAGTCGTTGCCAATCAACTTGCCAAAGCTTACTCCCCTCATGTTCTCCTCAAAGCTCGCGCCGGCAAGCTTGGTCTCGGAACGGCATATGTTCATGGTCTCCAATTCGTGACTGGAAACTATGTTATTATTATGGACGCGGATTTCTCTCACCACCCCAAATTCATCTCCCAAATGATCGCGAAGCAGAAGACGCTTTCTACAAATGGTGGATATGATATTGTTACTGGCACAAGATATGCCGGTGATGGAGGTGTATTTGGATGGGATCTGAAGAGAAAGTTGGTTTCCAGGGGCGCCAATTTATTCGCTGATACCGTTTTGAGACCTGGGGTTAGCGATTTGACGGGAAGTTTCAGACTATACAAAAAAGCGGTTTTACAGAAGGTTATCGAAAGTACGGAAAGTAAGGGATACACTTTCCAGATGGAAATGATGGTTAGAGCTAAGGCTATGGGATGCACGGTGGCCGAAGTACCAATCAGTTTCGTGGATCGTGTTTATGGCGAGAGTAAATTGGGTGGTGATGAGATTGTGGAATATGCAAAAGGTGTCTTGAATTTGTGGATGAAGGTTTAGGTTAAAGGTGTACGTGGATATATTGTATGCATGGTGGGTGGAGTTGGTGGTTTTATTGGGATCTATAATGGTCGGATCTTAGTTCTTGGAATTTGATGATGTACACTATCATATGGTTGGACTGGTGCAATTTTGACAAAGAATCTTCCTTTTCACTAAGCAGTCGAGTGGTTGCATCTCATTTAAGTTGTGGAGTGAAATCTTACTCTTTTTGCCATCATTCATGGGTCTCCACCAACCTCTTTCACTGCTGGCTTAGTATTGAACAACTGAATAGTGGCATATCGCGACAACCGACATAAACTATTCCCCAGTTATTATATCATCTGCAATCTTCTCGGCAATCATATAGACAGAAGCTTGAGGATGTCCAGGAAGCGCAAAAGGAAAGATCGAAGCATCAACGACTCTTAGCCCCTCTACTCCAAATACCCTGCCCCTCGAATCTACAACCGCATTCGTATCTCCAGTTTTGCCCATTGCGCATGTAGCACTAGCATGCCACATTGGAGCCGAGTTCTGTTGAATATACTCCAAAATTTCTTCGTCTGTTTGTACCGTCACTCCTGGAAGAATCTCAGGTCCTATCTTGATAGATTTAGCTGGGTCGCTATCCCATATTTGTCGGATGCGTTTGAATATTGCTACTGCGACTTCAGAATCTGCAGGGTCACTGAACCAACCAAGATCGATTACAGGTGGGTCTAACATGCTAGCGCTTTTGATGGTGATATTGCCTCGGGAAAGAGGAGCTGTAAGTACTCCGCCAAAAACACCAATTGTAGAGAAATTGTCACCTCCAAAACCTGCTCCTACATATTCTGCTTCTGGCCAGTCAGATGGGAAATATCTTAGTGATAATTTTGTCTGTTGTGAGAAATTTCCTCGCAGTTCTTCTGGGATTCTTTCGAAAGATAGGTAACCGGCCGCCGAGCTGTATGGCCCGCCAGCATCTTCGTAATATTGTTGCAATATCTCGGCAGAGTTGTTCGGATTTGCTACAATACTTCCAGCACTGGGGGTGTTTACTTGGTTGAGTACAGTGAATGAAACTTGATCCCATAGATTTTGTCCCACTCCTGGAAGTTCTGAAATCAATGGGATGTTTTGTTCCTCAAGTGTAGCGCGCGGGCCGATTCCTTCTCCACATTAGCATGTTATTCTAAATGTTGAGAGTAGCTTCTCACCAGATACCATAAGTAATTGTGGTGAGTGAAAAACTCCTGAGGACATGATAACTTCCTTCTTCGCATGAATAGTGTATTGGAATCCTGCTGTCGATACTTGAACCGCATTTGCTCTTTTTGGTGAATCAGAAGCAAAAAGGATCTTTAGGGCTTGAGTATGGGCATGTACCATGATATCCGTATTCTTAATAGCTTCTTCTAAGAAACTTGACTGCGAAGATGATCGTACAGCATTCTTCGGTTCAATGGTAGAAGGGACCCAAGCACCATGACCCGATAAAGAACCACTACTGAATCCAACTGAACTTACTGGAAGACCAATAGACTGTACAGCTTTCGCAAGTGCATTTATCGTGGGATCAACCCAATTGTTCCAGGAAACTTGTAGAGGTCCTCCAAAAGAGTTATCAAAAGCTGTGATATCATACACTACTGTTGCGGATGTCGAGTTTCGTTTTAAATCATCAGGTGGAGTCAAATGACAAGACTTCTTGTAATATGGAAGAATATTCTCAAAAGTGAAGCTCTCATCTCCTACAATTTCAGCCCATTTCTGATACGTACCAGTAGTAGCACGATGATATGATAACGTATTCAGTGCTGAAGATCCTCCTAGCGTTTTTCCTCGAGCATAGTGTATTCGCCGGTTCCCAGCATTTACCTGTGGTGCAGAGAATAAATCCCAATCAATGAGCGGTTGTTTAGGATAATCTTCAGTTGAGTACACCAGAGGCATTTGCAAACTTCCATATGGGACGATGCTATAGTTTCCATTGTCTTGTTCGTAAAAACCACCTGCCTCGATTACGCCAACAGATGCTATTTCTGCGAGCCTTGATGCAATGACCAACCCTGCTGTTCCACCTCCGACCACTGAATCTATTAACTTAAAAATTTTAGGTACTCAACTATCTCACATACCAACATAATCATAAGTAGCGTTTCCAGGAACAGCGAAAGCACTCGAACGAAGTCGATGTTGAGTTTGTGCAGTACCGGCTACAGATTGTATGAGCGCAGGCAATATCGATATCCAAGCACGAATCATTGATGCTATATGTCGTATTGGAAATAGTTTATCGAGTGTCAATCGCGAAGTCAATGAGCTTGTATGTTCATTTTGATGTCTCGGGGGATACTTTGACCCAGGTAAAATCTCCCCACTGCCAAGTGTCAGCAGTACATCCGGATAATATCCTGGAACGAATCACGTCACCGAGGACTGCTTCAACACCGTAATACTAAGATTATTTGAAGTATTAAGAACGGGTCTGCCCCACAGTTTATACTGTATATACGCGGCTTGCAAGCCCCCCGCAATATATCAAGAATACCACAATTTCATCAAGGAGACTTCACAAGATAAAAAACTTCCTGCCACCGAATTCTCCTCTGGCAGCTACCTTAACCTTAATCATTTATCCTTTCATGATACCTGGATATATGCTTCTTCCATGTATGAGTAATGGTTTCCACATGCGCTTGGTTGTAGTACAAGCGGGATGCGAAATCCAAAAGCAACAGCAATGATATCTCCTAATCGAGCATTTTGAAAGCTAAGTTTTTGTACCCTCGCTCTGTGGTCATTGATCTTCGTCCGAAAAATAGTACCATGGCACGTATCGCACTAGCGTCGTTCCATCTCGTACGTGAAAATCCACGTGTCTCGGTGTTTGCAGTCAAAGTAAGAGTGTTTTAGTCGACCTCTTATCATGATGTTTCCATTTGTCGTCTCTATGTCCATCTCTGAAATTATCTTGCATGAAAGGTCCAGGGTGCGCCAAGTTTGGGTCGATCCAGTTTTCATCAGGAAGACCAATAGACACAGCAATATTGTATCTTTCCAAGACATTACTGGGTACTCTATCTATGACTTTTAATGGGTGCTGAACTAAATCCACGGCTATTCGGTATACTAGACTTCAAAATGTTTTATGAAGTCCGAATTCCATAGTTTGTTCTATTCGGTTTAAGCTGTGTGGCCACTACACACTAGTACGAACAATATGGCTATACTTCCGGAGAAGTCATGTTTCTTGTCATGGCACACTTTTTATATGCCAATGCCTGTGCAAAATCAAAGCATCTTATCACTACCACGTGGGATATGTATCAGGAAAAGATGGGATTTAACTATAACTTGCGAACCAGGATACAGCGAAATAGGCATGGAATAAATATGCGCTTACGGCATTCTTTTTCTTGTATCTATATAAATATTGGTATGGGACATATCAAACGGACAGAAAAACTCCCTCGGACGATGGAACGTGGAACATTCGTGAAGCGAAGAACCTTTCCACAACTTCCTTGGCAAGAAGTATACAACTCTAAAACCATTATGGCGGACCATGGTGATACAATTCTTGCAGATGGATGGTATGGACTGGCGCGCAAGATTCACTATAGCCGGATTTGTACTTTACTGTTTCCTGTGGGTCTGATCGCCGATTTGACGGCCCCTTTCCTTGGTTTTATTCGGTTGCTTTTCACTGTCATGATCGCACATCGTGCTATGAGGGATATCACTAAATGTAGACAGAAGTATGGAGATGCTTGTAGGTAGTATGAGAAGCAGGTACCATATCTCTTCATTCCGGTAAGCTCCAAATTATGCCCCTTGTCAGATGACCTCTAGCTGACCAACTATCAGTACGTGATATGACTTTCGCATGCATCATTTGATTATGTGATGATGAGTTCTCTACGGATTCGGACATGATACATAGCATCAATCGTATCTAGATATATTGCCATAGGTCTGAGATCACCAGTAGTTCTTATCTGCGGCTCCACGTATACTTGGCTCGTCAAAGTATTTCATACTAACCCTAATATTTTCCTTTGAAAAAAAAAAAGAAGGCAGGATCCACGGCAATTCTGTAGTATATTCACATAAAGAGGGCCTGGGTGTAAGAACAAACTTCGCTTCAAAGATCAATAAAGGAGGTTTGTAGAAGAAAGCTTCAGGGTGAGAGCAGTTCGTTTGGTTGAGTTGTTTGTCTATTCATTGCATTAAAGAATTAAAAGATAGGAGAATAATAAGATAGTGAATCCAGCTCGTTTGGAGAATTTCAAACAAACAAGCAACTAGGTAGGTAGGTAGGTAGTTGCTTTTTAATTGCCATATAAATATTCACTTTTATTATGACCATCAACCTCAACACTTCAATCTCCACTGACTTACCATCCATACATCACCGTCTCATTTGCCCGTAGTCATCATGGATCGATACTGGGAAGCCAATCTCTGGCAACCAACCATCGTCACGACGGAGGAAGTTTGCAGCAATTCGTCCCCTTGCACCTCAAAGTCAGTACATCCATGTTCCCTCGCCCAACCAAACTATAACCCCCACAATATCTAACACCGATCATAGGAAGTCGAGAGATGTCGCGAGAATCTGAGGGAATGCACTAAAGTCCTAGCTCTTTTTCCCTACACGCCATCTCACTGGAGGAATCGATCTGCAGTTCTTTTGGAATTGGGATATCCGGAACTCGCTGCGGCAGATGCTTATAAGGCGCTTATTTTGACGACATATGTATTTGATGGGAAGTATCTCGGCCTCGAGAGTGTGGCTTGAGATGGGCCATGGCGGTTTGGTATCGAGATGCTGTTCAAGGTAAAGTTGAAGCACGGCGCGCATGTAAACTTTTTTGACCCCGTTAGGGAAATCCGTGGGATGTGAATCTCTCGGCGACGAAATTTGGCATACAGATGCTTGATTTGTTGAAGTATGAGCGGAAGCAAGCGTGCGTTTCTAATGCCTTATTTGCCGATAGTTTCTATTCTTACCTAACCACATGTTTAGCTATACCCAATTGATCTTCTCCCTCTACTATCTCCAAGATTTTCCGGACATCAAAGCCATAACCACGGAAGCACTAAAACATTACCCTGACGATATCACATTTCTCTATTTCCAGCACGCTCTGCAACCTCAGCATATGAAAGAAATCGAACTTTCATATACAACAAACCTTATCCGATGATATCAAATGGATGAATGCAGAGATGGGAACAGTATGGAATAAACCATATCCATGGGCCTCAGGATTCCATACCAGAACCAAAAGATCAATCAAAGTCGCCAATATAGCTCTGAAAAAATGCTCAAAGGTACTTCGAATTCAGTCTTCTAATATGACTATATCAGACTCGAATGGAGTTTTCTTATGGCATGTTCGCAAGTCAAGATATACATAGAGGTGATACCATTATCGAGCGCAGCCTAGTCTTGTCAATCAGTGGCTTACAACTAAAGACACATTTGAATTTGATAGATTCATTATTAGGAGAACCGAAGACTAGATCGAAAACTTCCCAGGAAACTGTTTCAATTGTTACGGACTCTTGAACAAATATGGGCCAAAATATGGATTTGTATGTTGTTCCCATCTCTACTTCTGCAGTAAAGATTGCAAGAATCTCGCCCAGCAGTATTACCACGATGCCCTATGTGGCACCAATATACTCCCCATCTATTCATTCTCGAATAACAAAAAATGTTACGTATGTGGGCCCGAGATCGCGGGAATGATATGGTTACGGCTTTTGGCGACATGCAAACAAGGGGGTGGACATCTGCTTCAACATCCTCTTGTAACCAATCTAAGCATTCATGAAGCAGCGGCTCAAGACCCCTGGTCCTTGGATATCCGTGTCATCTGGCCTCTGAAAACTCTGGAGATACTTGGGATAGATGTCTTCGCAAATCAATGGTATGATACTTGGGTCTTGGAAACTCTATGGTATGTCTATCTTTCCTAGAACAACATTCAGAGCAATAACAATTGATATTACCTCACAGGCAAATATTCAGGGTCAACTCTGCTGGAGCATATAATGCAGAAACGAGTATGGATGCTGGGTCGATAGCTTCTACGCAATGTTCAACCATAGTTGTGAAGATCCGCGAATGTGGGTTACACATATCCAGGACTTTGATCGGGCGGGCTCGAAGTTTCAATACGGGGCTGGGAGAGAAATTAAAAAAGGGGGAAGAGGTATGTGTCAGTTACATTGAGGTGTTGGCGCGATCGAAAATGGAAAGACGCAAAGCCCTTGCGGGATGGCTCTCCGGTGATTGTAAATGCAAGAGATGTTTGGCTGAATAGTATGTAATAGCCCCTGTGACTATCTAGGATTGTCTCCCATAGCATCACAAGACTTGAACAAATCGGAAAGATTGGTCTTGACAATCTTCAAGTGAGTTACGCAATCGAACACTTGCTATAGTAGGTAGCCAGTATCATATTGTTAAGACCATTTTGATAAGACATAGGTAGTTTTTGGACCTTCTAAACCCATCTAAGCCGTCAAGAATTCGAGACGGCGAGGAATAGACTTGATGGGGTATTTCAAGAAGTCACAAAGAAGCAACCATCATACACTTCAAATCACCAGGTATAGATCAAGATATGTCTTATTCGAACGAAGTGATGTCGTTGTATCGATACATACCTATACAAGTTGGCGCTTTGATGTTTACTAAATCTGGTGAAGTCACGTTTGTAGGTGTTCATTCTTAGCTAGGGGAGCAGATGTATATCACTTGCACGGATGGATGTTATATCATAGATGTGGAAATTTATTAAAAAAAATGGGTCTTTGACTTGCAAGAAAATGAGCATCTTCCCTCCCCACCGTTCCCCGAATCCAAAAGCAAAACCCATCCCATCACAAATAAGTACCCAACTCCCTAGGTATCTCCAACTACCTACCTACCACACTCAAACCGCAACCCTATCCAACCCACTCTCCTCAAAAAGCCTCAAAATCCCCCTTACTTCTTTTCCCTCCCCCCCCTCACCAACTCCGCACTCCTCTTATCCTTCGCATCCGCCCTCCTCTCCCTCCTCCTCTTCCACGTCTCCAACTTCCACTTCGTGGCATGCGAGATCCCATTCCGCGCATGTTTCTTAATCTCCAACCACGGATCTCTCGGATCATCCAGCTTGTGGTACTTCCAATACGGGGTATCTGGATTCGGGTCGCGGGGAAGCTGAGTCGGACGATGCATGATGAGGACCGTTGAGTCACGATTGATTTTCTCACTCGCCTCACCATCCTCATTCCAGCGCTGCGCTTTCAGCGCCAAGCCCTCGGCCCTGCTTTCAAAGTCACTGAGTGTGCATTCGTCGGTAGCTACGAGTTTGAATCCTTTGCGGGGTTGTGCGCAGTTCATGAATGAACCATCGCAGGTATTGAAGATTAAGGTGAAATTTTCCGCGGGACAGTAGCGGAGAAAATATGTGATGTGACGGTATGAGAAACTTTGGTGAGAGTTAAAGAGGTTGGAGACATCGAAGATCCATTCATTTATACCATGATATTTTGGTGCAAGAATCTCATCGAGTAAGAAATTTTGTCTCGTGTACAGAACTTGAGGAGAACCTTTGTAGCGGTGGGAATCCGGTGTCTCGTAGAATTGAATATGAACTGATCGAAGGAGGATCTGTCCTGCGCGAGTATATAGAGGGGCGCATTTGAGAAAGGATTCCAGAGTTTGGAAAGTGAAAGTTTGGTTTTGCAAATATTCTTTTGGAAATACTGAGTCGAGATCATTGTAAATTGTGCGACAGGTTAATCGTAGAGATTGAAGTATTGATTTTTTAGATGACTGTATGTATCGAGACTGCTTGATGGATAGAGCCTCGCTCCAGATGATATTTCGGAGTTCGATGGAAAGTTTCATAATTCCCACCTTCTCAGGAGGTAAATTTGTTAGTGACATGGTGGTAACTAGATGACTGAAATTGTGACATTCGGGCTGAGGAAAATCTGAGTGTTTCGAAACAGAGAAACTTGGTCGAGGTAGAAGATGATCTTTGGAGATAGGTATGGAGTAATCTAGTATTGTATGCAGATGACACGTCCAACTATTTTCTTCCACAGTGAAGATTAATAAAAGTTGATGAATGTATTGAATGATTTATCGAATAGGTGGAAAGCAAAGTTGTATTGTTGAGAGGGGAGCTTAATCCTTAAATAGACCATGCCATAGACCGATCAAAAATCAACCCAAGCCGTGAAATTTATTGAATACCCAGGTAGACATGTCATATCTAAAATTATAGTGAATTAAACTCTTTTCATCTCTATTATGTGAATCTCTACGTAGGTAGTTAGCTCACTTATTACTATCGAACTCAAACGAAGATTCATCAGAAGCGTCCATGTTTTCTTCATCTGTTCTACTCACTTTCTCTTTTATAATTCTTTCATTCGAAATATACTTCAAGTGTTCAAATAGCCATACCGGCACTACTAATGCCAATTACCTTGATCTTAATGAACCACCGAGTATCAGCGTCAAACCTATGACGTATCAATCTTCCAACCCCACACAACTCATCGAGAGGTCTTCCATCTGCAGAACACTTTGCGCACTTTGAAAGAAACGATGTAGACGACCTCCACAACCGAGTCATGGGGTTCTAGACCGAAAAAGAACTGAATCAATCATCAAGATACCGACATGAACCTACGGACTCAAAATGTAAAGTGAGTAATCAAGTCCACTTTCCACCAAGGTATGCACTACTATGCGCTACTCATGTCATTCAAATCAAGATCTGCAAATGCCGATACCCGTGGACACCTGCCGAAAGGCATATTTTGAGGCTGGTACCATGTGGCTGAAAATCAGACATGCAACAAATTAGAATATAGAACGCTTCGATTCCGTTCAATTCCATTCTGTGGAAGCAATATTTCTTAGAGAACATTAAACTAGAATTTAGAATGGCATGATATCGTGCTCCTCCATATCATGACTGCCAAGTAAAATTCAAACCATTTAATAGTCGTGAGGTCGGGAATCGAACCATCATCCCAACACATTCACTGATATGTTTTCAATGCTTCGAATGACACGAGGCATTTCCGCGTAAGAAAGGGGGTTGCTGAAGTTCTTCGTGTGGTGATTCTTTGCTGTGGTGTGTTCTCTGTTACTCCTTTGAACAGAAAGAATCAACACTTGCCTTCTTGTGCTCAACGCAAAACGATCTACTTCTTCACACTTGTGAAGAGAAGATGATACTTTCGGAGAAACGAGCGAACACATGAAGTGAAAATATTAAGTGGCTTTGTTTGAGAAAGGTAAAAAAAATATCCAAGGAAATGATGAAAAGGTAACCCCAAAGCTCGTCGACTGGGCAGAATAAAACATACTGAGGATCAAACAGGGTATCAAAGTAAAGAGAAAAGGTTTCTCTCTTGCAAACAAAAAGAGAAGTATGTCCTTAGGCCAGTAGAGGCCAGAATAGTGAGTGTCGCTAGTTTTTATAAATGAAACATCTTGTCGTCTAAACCATTTAACATTACCCTATATCCCAAGTTATCTAAGTTAGATGGCATCTATATCTAATCCGTATTAATGACGTATGCCTCTAGGTCTGAAAATGTTGAATCCTCGAACAATTCGTACCAAGTCGAGTTGTAGCTGGTGACCAGGACACAGAAACTTTCACAGCTTTTCCCTCAGCTTTTTTCTATCCATGGTAATAAATAAAGCTTCCCCAGTGGCCAACACTACTCCCTCGCCATCCTCAATCGTGGCTTTTCCAAATATCTTCCTTCCCTCTTTCCTGTCTACCCAACTTCTCCCCAACACAACCCCTGGTGTCCCGATTGGTTTCTTATACGTAATGTGTAGATACGCCGTCATGGTAGTTTTATCCCTTGGCCTGGCGACGGAAGCTGCACAACCGATCATATCATCCAACATGACTCCAGTGAATCCGCCATGCGCAGTATCAATATGACCATTGACATGCGAACCCAAACTCATCAACGCCAGAACTTCGCCAAATGAACGCGAGGAGTTAGGCGGAGAGTAGAAGAATTGACAATGCGAGATAGTGTCCGGTGTCTGAAGGGTAATGGCCGTAAATGTATCACAGGTATGATGTTCCTTGCGCATTCGCGACCGAGGTGAAAAGGGGTGCATAGAGCTGTCCTCGAGAATTGGTTTACACCATGGTGTTAAGGAGAAATGTTCCGCGGTTTCTTTTGGTATAGTCGCAAATCGAAACAGATCCTGAGGGAAACTCATGGTGGAAAATGACTGAGTGTGTCCATTTTGAGATGTAATTGAAGTTGTTGATAGTAGTACAATGCTGTGTTGCACCTCAGACTAATGTTAGACGTTATGGATCTGATAAGTATTCCACTTTGGATGTGTGGTCAGGTTTGATAAGATAAGTGGATTCGGACCTCGGAACGATGGAACTAAAGCGCCTGAAACATGAAACTAAAAAGGAAGAGCTACTCTCGCGCTATTGGAGCTGTGACCCTTGGAACTTGGAAGCTAGGTAGTTCAAGGGAAAGGGTACAGACAGGTACAGGACTAGTCACTTCGATGTTTGAGGGAGCTTTCAGAATCATTCACGATGTTTGAATATTAAACTTTTGCGAGTGCAATCATTCAGGAGGCTCGTGAAATTAAGGTTCAACACGATATTGAGTTCTAGAGCTAGTACGAGAAAAAGGAGGGAGGGAAAAGCTAAATGAAGGTTGGAAGGATTCTTATTGAATTGATATTGATATTGATTATTGATACCGGAATACTTATTTGTATCTGTCCAAAAGTTATTCATCCTTCTCATCCTTCATATATGAATCATTCTGCATACAGCTACCGACCTAGATGGATACTCGATATATGTATATATATACATATCACACAATACTGTAGAACATACTCGTAACATAAGATAGCCGCAAGATTAATGATGGAATTTTATGGATCCCTAATATAGAATTTCATCACGGTTCTCGGTTCGGTTCACAACACTTGCTTGGGTATAATAAGTTTGGCTAAAAATAAGGCTGGGAAGTTCCATTTACCTTGGCTGAGCTTGCGAGCTTGCTTTTCTACCCTCCCTCGCCTCCTTTCTACGTCGCTCTGATGATTAGATGTCACTCGAACACTTTGGCCCCCCTATCAGAAGAAGAATCTGTCACTTCTGCAATTATGATAGTTACCCAGTAGAACCTGGGTAGTGAGGTAATATAACCCCCATTATACCAGGCTCATTCCACGACCGATGACCCTTTCGAATTAAACGAAAGTTTGCTTATGAATTCGAATGTCCCCCTCCACCCCCCTGAACACTGCAATTTTACCAAGATGACCATTGACCAGTCACGATACAGAATGCGAGAGAGACGTTCCTTTTGTGTACGAGGTAGTATCAAATTGAATGATGTCTTTCATTAACACTGGTCGATATTCAGACGGTTGGTGGGAACGGTTATTGATACACAGACCTGACTCTGGTCAAAACTCACTCGGAACAATTTTTATATAGGTATGCTCTGGACCTCTCGCCCTCGACAATGAACGTACGATCTGAGCTCTGATTTTGGTTCGGTCTCTTCTCGTCCAAGTATTCCATTCCCTCCAGCATCTTCTCACTCTTTTCAAGCTTCACTTCATCTTTGTTATCGGGCTGGTCCTTCATTGGTTGCCACAACCGGCCATTCATGTTGGGCCATCGATAGGTAGCCACTCACTCATCACGCTCACTCCTCCTCACACACTCCTCGCACCTCTTGCCACCAGTACATTCATTCAATTCGTTTTATTCGTTGTCCGTCATTTGAAACTTTATGGTTTTGTTTGCGTCAACCGCGACATTCATTCCTTGAATCACCCATCACTCATCATCTATCATTCGTCATTCAGTTTATTCTATTCCATTTGTACAATTTCCCACAGTCAATCATAACAGTACCTACCAACCATTCAGAGCGCAATTCATTCACAGCACAATTATCTTGATTCGCCGTACCCACCTCCTTATTCACACGACTTGTGTATTTAATTGTCTCGAGCTTGTATAACCGTACACCCTTTCACCTCTTACACTTTATCAATTAAACTCAACGTCAATTAATAGTATCCACCAAGTTTGCACAGCCTTCGGCATCCTGTGACGATCCTTCCAATTATTTACGAGAACACGAGATACATATCAAAAAAAAAATAAAAAAAGTTGTGTGTGTGGAGGGCACCTGAGGTTCTCCAGCTACAAAAGTCTAGAAGCTTTCAAATTTAATGAAAAGTACAATACGTCTGGATCTGTCCATTCAAAGATTTCCCTCCGGATCGTTTTGCGACAAAGATCTTCCGAGAGCACCTTCATACCCCACGATCCCTAGCGAAGATCAAACAGGACTGGTACACAAGAATACATCATGTGGAAACGTCTCAATACCCCGAGGAGTAGTGGTACTACAGCTCGTCAATCATCTATAAGTGAACCTGTACTTGTCGAGACAACCATTTTTGAGAAATCTTACGGAGCGGCTGGCGGAATAAATGTTGATATAAATATGTCGTCTTCGGATAGAAAAGCTCCTCATCCGTCAAGACCGACGAGAGATAATACTCCAAAAGGATTACCACTTCTACCATTGTAGGTCACAAGGTTTATCTATTTACTCTGAGAGTGGGGGCGTTGAAGTTCGAGGGGAATTACTAAGAGGGACAATGGATGTTGGGCTTATGTTTCAGCTTAATGATATCGCTGTCAAATCTACATTCTCACGCAATCACCAAACATTTGCTAATGTTTACATCAGTGAAGCAGCTCCTCCCATGTATTCGCGCCAAAATTCCGATAATTTCAGACCGGTTTCTTCTGTCTATTCACAGCCTTCTCCAGGCCCTATGAATGATCAATTTCCATATAATACATATGCGAAACCCATGACTCCAAATTCGGC